GGGAGAACTACTTATCAGCACAAAAATATTTTTTGGAGAATAGGGATTTAGGTTTTTTGAGCAACATTTATCTATTGGCTGGATTGTGAAAAATTGTATAGTGTTTTTATTATCCTAAGAAAAATCATCATCAATAGTGTAAGTTATACCCACTTTGGGTTTAAGGATGTATTGCAAAGACATCAGTTGGCATTTGGACATGTAAGAGCAGGGAGCCTTTAGTGTTCTCTGAACTTGGCCTACTTCAGATAAAGCTTTAAAGCCTAAAGCTGTTTGAGTGAGGTTGTTGGGTTATGATACCTACCCAGAGCAGAAGCAGACTTAACATGGGCCATGTCTGATGACGAATTTATGGTTATTTTTTATCTGAGTGATATAAAAAACCCCACTAAAACTTTTCTGTGCTGAGAAATGTCATGTCACTTATTGGAGATACTCCTGAAATCTGTGTTAAGTTTCATCCTGTTTTACAGCCAATCTCCTTGTCAGAGAATTAAACCTAGCTCCCTAAACTGCTGTAATAAAAAGATGGGATAAATTTGGAGGCTTGGACCTGAAGACTTCAGAGCCAGAATGTCTTCTGCCTGCTCCCAGATTAATTCAGTCTTTATGATGGAACCCTAAATACTCAATTGTTCTTTAATTATCTAGCTCAGTATAACCAGAATCTAGAATATCTTTAAAAAATTGCATCTCAGTTGGAAATTCTCTTGACTTCACCATTTCCCATGAAAAGCTCATTGTGATTTGACTGCCTTGATAATTACTTGCTCATTATTAGGATAGGACAAAAAGCCTGCAAAATCTGTGAGCTCAATAAAGTCACTTGTTTTGACGTGCTGATTGTTCTTTGGAGATTGGTAAGGAAGGCAAACAGCACTTTACATCTGTGTAATCAAACCTACAACTGCAAAATTCAACGCTAATCAAATTCTGTCACACTTTATATCAACTCAATGCAAAATGAAAAAGAAACGTGTCATGGAAACAGGCTCTGCTTCTTTAATGAAGCATTTCAACCCCATGAAGTCCAAACCCTGGGATTCTTCAGTTCCCCCTGGACTCCCCTATACTATATCTAACAGATAAAATGTTATATCTAGCAGAACCTCTCTGTGTCTGCAGCGAGAGGGGATTGCCAGGTAACAGTTCTTAACCCCCCTAAATTGTTGTTCATCTGGCAGTCTTCAACTGTTTATAACAAAACATTTGTTTTCCTCCATGTGTATAAGGAGTCATCCCCACTGAACTGCCCCCAAGACAGACAGACAGACATCTGCAACATACTCAGCTAAAATTAAGTAGGTTGGTCTTCTCCATTTGATCTGGTGTGTTTGAAATTTCAGGGAGCAGCTCTAACTGTGTCTGTGCCAAGAACTGATATTGTAAAGTCTTGCTTTCACTGGCAGCGTTATCACTCCCCACTGAGGGGCCTGTGGGGTCTCCTGCATGTCCCTGGCTGTGCTCCTTCCTGTGAGCTCAGCCCCAGCTGAGAATGGGACAGGAGGCAATCAACACTCACAATGGCTCAGAGGCTTTTAGGCTTCTTGTGGGAGGGGAAAACCCTGGCCCCAGTGTAGGCGATGCCTCTAGGCTGCACCTAATATCATGGGGCACTGCCCGTCAGCATACCCTGATAGCTCTAGTTATCTAGTTATCTAATTATCTAGTTATCTATTATCTAGATAATTCCAGCAGCAAAAGAGATGAGAACCAGCACAGAAGAATCTCAGTCCAGAAAACAGTTATTATTTTAGCAAGTGAAAGCTATGATGCATGCTACTTCGACAATGCCTAAGGGGTGAACAGTATTGTAGTGAATAATTATGGATGTCATGGTTCCTCTGGATGCCTCCACAGTCTGCTGACACCACCTTCCTTTTACAAGGGTTGAATTAATGCCAAAAGCCACCATCCATCCTCCTGTATCTGCCAGACTTCAGAAGTGTTGGTGCATGCTGAGTCAGGTGTGAAAAGCAATGCACAATTTTATCAGCAAGATCCCAACAACCCTGTGGCCTGTGTTCCCTCACAACTGGGATGGCAACCACAACATTTACATTTAAGGAAGAGAAAAAAATCAGTAGCTTCAAAAAATTTTCATGGAAGGAATTGTAGTAAGAATAGTTGATGACTAAACTATAGTGTAATTTCAGTCTTTTTTCAGTTACAGACATTAACTTAATTCCCTGGCAGCAGGGAAGGTTCTGTTTTCCTCACTTGGCTCCATTATTAATTAGCCTTAACCACTTAACCATCCTCCAAGAATTAGCATTCACAGCATATTAATCCATAGCAATCAATAAACATAGTGCTGAGTGAAACACAAGATACAACACAGTTGAGGACTAGGTTTTTGCTGTGTTTGATGAGTGTATTGCACATTTAAATGCATTCACTGATCTGAGCCTGCTTCTTATTTTGCATCTCCTCAGAATTATTAAGACCTACTGGCAGACATACTATAGGTTTCTAAACTTCAAAGCTCTAGGATTAGTGTTGGTATTTTAGCCTTGGAACTTGCTGTCTTCACAATTCTGTAGTGATATGAGAATGTGGAGCTTCAAACAAAATATGATTCCTTCTTCTTCTGTAAGCTCTTAAATTATTTTGTCTCATTTTTAAGGAGATGCTTGCTTTTTTTTTTTAATTCAGCATATCTTTTTCTGTCCAGTTATATTACTGCTGTATATGTACTTTTAAAGACAATGTAAGCAGATAAAAATAACAGCATTTTGGCTGAAAAGCCAATGTCCCCAAAATGCACTATTGATTTACCAAATAATTAACAAATAATTCTCTTGGTAAGTATCAGAAAGGTTGAACTTTAGCTGTCGTATATGTGAAAGTTTCTAGGAAATCTCAAATGTCAAAAAAAAAATCTCAAAATTCTGCCCAGAGGAAATTTCCTGTGTAATGGACAAATGAATGAGAGTGGACAAGAATAACTTCCCCTTGGGAACTTTTCTTTGGGGTAAGAAAAAATGAGGCAGTTTGTGCTGTAATGTTTAAAAAAAAAAAAAAAGAAAAAACGAAAAAGAAAAGAAAAAACAACAACAAAACAAGAAACAAAACCACAAAAAACCCAAACCAACCAGCCAAACAAACAAAAAAACCCCTTCCTACTTCTCTGAAAAAACAGCCTGCTTGGACGCCCCTTTTCTGTCAGTGCACCAGTGTGTATTTTCTTCACTATATAAAATAGCTCGAGTCTTCCTCATAATGCTCATCCCACAGAGACTGGAAGTGAGGGTTTTCAGGGTTTTAGGTAACAACAGCAGCCTAAAGAAAATCTGCCACTGCATCCCTATCCAACGCCAATCTACACACAAGTTAAAGTGCAAGTTTGAGCTATCTTGCCTGCCAAAACCAAGTTGTTTGATACTAAAGCTACAAACACTGTAGAGATGAGTTATCTACCAATTACAACACCTTATCAACAGCTTGTCAACTGCTAATCCAATTAGTCTGCCTGGCTCCCTGCTCTGTGGCTTCCTTGGTCCTCCCAGGCTCGAGGCAGGCAGTAATTCACATGCACTGAGAGAGATAACACTGTAGGAAAGACAAGCTCTAAAAATTCTCCTAAAGGAGGATGAGTAAATCACTAACTGTCCCAAGAGTAATTGAGATGCCATGATCACTGGAGCAGGCAGTCTGTAATCACGTTTTATTGACAGCTCCTAAAGATCAGCCTTCCTTCGGAGTGCCTGGAGTGGAAGCAAACCGAGCATGTCTGCAGGTGCAACACAGAGAGACAGGACCAGACCTGGCACCAAATGATGCACCTGGGGCAGGGACAGCACTCCCAGCCTCTCAGAGAGGGGCTGTGCACAGCTCCCTGCTCGCTGCAGGAATTGCCAGCATGTCCTCAGACACAGCCCAGGGAGTGTGGCAGTTTGCACACAGAGAGCCACACTCTCAGCTCATCTGGTGCTGTGTTCTTGGGAGGACAAAGGCAGAGGTAGCTGATCTTGTCATAGAACACTTGCAAATACTGCTTTTTTATAAATAAATATTGGACTTTAACATTTATTAAGTTAGTGTTTGAGTACTTGAGTAAGGTCATTTTTAAAAATCATCTGCTTCCTTGTATACATTTGGGAAGCCGTCTTTCATCTCTGGGTTTGCTGTCTTCTTGGGTTGCTGTTGATTATTGCTGCCCCAAGATGTGCAGGATGTCTCTGCTTTGGCCTGCGCAACTGAAGAACAAGTCTGGACTCTTCACTTTTAGGTCTTGATGTTGTTTATTAATTCTTATCTATAAAATTTTCTTTCTGACCAGCCGAGATCTGCTCAGCAGGGCAGCCACAGGCACTCTGACCGCCCCCAAGGCGGTGTTGTCCTTTTATACTATAAACTACGTAAAACATATTTACTCTTAATTCCCAATGCCTATCACCTGTGTTAGACAGTGAGCTTCTACTCTAAACCAATCCCAAAGTGTCAATATCACTGCAGAAAATGGAGAACAAGAAGAAGAAAGAAAAAGGACTAGACACGCCCTGATTCCTCCATCTTGTCCCCATAACCCCCATACCAAAAATCCTAAAATCTACATTTTCACCCTGTGAATATCTTATTATTACACCATTCAAACCTGTGTGACTTTCAGGTCCTCATACAAAGCTGGCAACTTGCTCCAAGGGTAAAAATCAAATCTCCAGGTGTTCTGGGCTGTGTGCCAGGGTCTCTGAGCCCCCCTGGCACGGTCCTTGGCAACTCTGGACACCGAGAGGGATGCACTGAGCTCTGACACTGTCTCAGCTTTATAAACACCTGAACATAATCGTGGAAAATCAAGAATCTTAAAGATAGCCTGCAACCAGACAGAACCCAACAATCCACAAAGACATTCCACTGTACCACAACAAATGGGATCTCAAATACCCTTGACTGAGATGGATAGAGATTCTTAAACGTGTTAAAACATAAAGTGATTTATTACATATGCAGTTTGTGTGTTGGTCCCAATAACCATTTTGCATCCTCTTTTTTTGCAGGAGGTGAAGTCACCAAGCCCAGGTTTGCTCAGTATTTCCATGGCAGCCTGGCCAGCCTGACAATACGGCCAGGGAAAATTGAGAGTCAGAAAGTGATTTCCTGCTTGCAGGCCTGCAAGGAAGGGCTCGATATTAATTCTCTTGAGAGTCTTGGCCAAGGAATAAAGGTGAGGGATGAACTGACATCATCTTTGATAAAAATTTAGATCTGATTTATGAAATGGAGAGCCCAAGGTAGAGTACGTACAGTGCAAATATACTCATAGAAGCAATGTAATTTCCCATAAAATCATGCAAAGAAAAAACAGAACAGTAAAAGAACTGTGACACTGAAAAGAAAAATGTTTCCATTTTTGCAGAGCTAGATGATCAGAAAGTAAGGCACTGCTGATACTTCAGAGCCTGTATGAATTGCCAGGTTGTGTTTTCATGCTTATTTTGTTACTTATACAGAAACAGACATGATTCCAAAGATTTATTGAATTTTGATCTCAAGTAGTTTTAAAGCAGTGGAATAATAAGTCCTAATAAGTCCCATTCTAAAAATCAGTGTGTTCAAACAGGAAAACTTTATGGTACATGAAAAATGAACACATAAAACCCTAAAGTCAAGAAATTAAATTTTTAGATTTGAATATAAGTCATTATCCATCTTCATTATGCATATGACTACTGGTAATGTGGAGCTTTTTCTAAGATTGGAGAACAACAGACAGGGAAATCCTGTTTCAGTTGACCTAGTGGCTAGATGTGTTTGCATTCATTCAGATATTCTGAAATTCTGTTCTTTGGATACACATGTAGGATGTTGGCTATTCCAATGCTCACATAAGCTGCATTGTCAGTTTTCTTTTACTGACACCATTATTTGGTGGCAGTGTTCTTGTGCTCAGTGTAAATGAATTTGTGAAGATGTTTCCTAGCACACAAATACCACTTCCAAAGGAGCTGAGCTTCCCTTCCAGCCCAGAAAGTTCCTTTGGGTGCAGACAATGCATCCTGAGGAACTGAACAGGGGTGTTTCGTTGTGGGGTTTTCAGAGAGGAGGAGGATGCTGCTCTAACACTTCCTCTGGAACATGCAGTGGGAGTGCCATGGACAGCATTTTATTAGCCAAACCTTTCTGTTGTACAGACTGACCTGAAATGCACCCAAATAAATGCCTGTCTGGGTGATGATAGGTTGCAGTGGTGTAGTATAACTGACACATTTTGTGAAAACGAGTGTAAAAATGAAAATTGAAAGTGCAAAGGTAAGGAGGAATTTTGCTAGCTCTAACTTTTACATATGAGGAAAGACCCCAAAGAATTATTTTATTATCCTGCCAAGGACATCATTAAGAATTTCACATTGCTGCTTCTCATAGCAATAGGACACAGGGGTCGGTTAAAGCTGGTTTTAAAGTGTAGTGAATACAGGAGCAGGTAGGGATTTCAGGAACCCACCTGTGTATGCCTAATAGTAAGTTCTTTGCTGGGATTTTCCATTAATTAAAGTACTTGTCTTGGTTTGGAAAGCCAGGAGTCTGCTAAGGAAGGCAGGAGCCTCCCCTGAAATGGAGAATGTAAACCCTCCCCACCTCTCCCAATTGCTATAAATTTTAAATTAAGGGGCTCCCGGGCAAAAATATGGGAACAGGAAATAACAGTTCTTTAATAGGGAAAAGGAAAAAAATAAAAGGATACAATAAACAATGCAGTACACTAGAACAACACTGACAGAGTCAGAACCCAGCCTGACACCCTGTGGGTCAGGGTGTTGGTGGCAGTCCCACTGGAATTGTGGCTCAGCCCTCCTGCAGTGTCAGGGGTGGTTCTGCTGGAGCAGGGATCCTGTAGAGAAGGATGCATTCTTCCTCTGAAGATCCTGTGGAAGGAGAGGCAGCTGCTGTTCCTCTGGGGAATCTAGTGGAGAAGCCGTGCTGGTGTCTCAAAACCTCAGGATTATATCCGGGTAGCAATGCTTGGCTCCTCCCTCTGGGCTCACATCTCCCAATGGGATGCTGTAGTTCTTATCAGCCATGCAGTGACATTCAATAGCTGTTATCAGCAGATGTCCCCTCCTGAGGGAGGTGTGAATGTGGTCACTCAAAGAGAGAGATAAGGCAAACTGCCCACTTGACAAAGGTAATCTGCCATACAGATGGTAATGGAAAACATCTTGCATTGCAATCTTCAACAGTACTGTGCATTTAGTCCATGGTGCTTAAAAGCATAGTAATTCCTCCCCTGTTTTGCCCTCTGAAACCTGAAAATATTTGAGTCACTCCTGTTTCATGGGCATGGGAAAATCCCTCTCCTACCACCCACTGCTGCTCCAGCATCTGTAACTGTCTTCTTCACTGCACTGGCAGTACAGAGGGGAAAAGGAAGACAAGGAATTGTTTTCTGCCTTTTCCTGCTTTTGCAAACCTTTAAAACATCTTCATTTTCTGAAATACAGATATTGGGCTTTTAAAGTTACTGATGTTGCTCTTACTGCCTCCAACAGTGAGAGCAACAGAAGGAGGCAAAAATGAAAGGAGCAAAGAGAGAGATTGTGGAAGGGTTTCTTTAGGGGGCTGACAGAAGGAAGCTCAGCTGAAAGCAGAACAGTTGCCTGACCTTGAAGAGAAAATGAGAGAGAAAGGTGTTGTGGTGTCAGAAACAAACACACCTGATCCCAGACAGGTATGTGAGACAGCTGCACAGACAGTGGGTTCTGTGGGGCTGTTTAGGTGGTGCTCTGCAGATTCAGAGTTGGCAGACTGATACTGGAGGGTGTTTTGGGCACTTTGCACCACAGAGATTCACGCTTCAACCACCTAAGAAAGAGCAGTGTAACAGCAGTTTCTGAGACAATAGTGTTGGACTGGTTTTGGGCTGCAGCCTGATTTTCAGTATCTGTAACAGCTCTCTGAGACACGTTCTAAACTGTTGCTATTTTTAGCTTTTTTAATGAGAAAGACAAAAATGGCTCAGACTGGGCCTTTCTCTGGTCCCTTTGGCAGCATTCCAGCTGTTTTGCAGCTGAGCTATTAACTGGGTAGCTAGAGTCTCCCTTTGCTAATTTTTTTTCTCTACTGTTGCTAGCTTAAAGAGAGGATAAAGAAGCATATGCAGGCTGGGATTCATGTTAGTCCTCCTCTTTGTTAAAAAATACCCTTCAGTGTGTTGTGACCTTCCTGCACAAGCTTTAAACCTCCATGTTCTGTTTGACAAAGGACCCTGCACTTCCTCCTGTTCCTCACAGACTGTTTGATGTGTTTGGCTTTTTAACCTTTCTGGCTGTAAGGAAGTGTAGGCAGCCTCTGTCTGTATTTTAACAGCATCTTCACATAATCAATGCCCAGCTTTGGGGAAAGAAAGCCTTTCCAGGAGAGAAAAGTGCTGCTTTTGTCCTGTGCTGGCAACAGTAGGGTACAATGTCAAGTGGGTAACGCAGATTTCCTCGGCAATGCAGATGGTTTACTGAACCAATTAACAGATAAAACAGGTAATTAGGATTAATTATGGTGAAGGTAAAAATCAGTCATTGGTTATGTCACAACAGTGACAAAGTTTTTGGTCATCAAGACTGATGTGTGTTCAGTGCAATGCAGTGGAGAAGGCTTGGGGCTACAAGAGCAGGCAGTGATTTTGCAGGGTTTGCTGGCCCAAGTGAGCAGCTCCATCTTAAATCAAGACACGCTTATTGATCATCAGACAGGATCGAGAGTCCCCTTTAGTGTGTCTGACATTAATGAAGATGTAGGAGGCAAATGTTGTAACTGTTTTGTTCATTCGTGTTGAAATATATCTCAGAAAGGTAGCCCAGGATAAAACCACAATAGAAAGCAGCCAAAATATGCTTCTGCATGCTAGGCTGGCTCAAAAGGCAATGCTTTTATATGGGGAATGTGTTGAACCTAAAAAGATTGCACAGAAATAATAATCATGGTGGTAAGTTAAGGTTTTGAACCTCTATAGAGTTCAAAAATAAATAGCATTGGAAATTGGTGCAGAAATTGAATCAGCAAGGTTGATAAGGCTGGGAAAAGAACAGCAAATCTGGATTCATTTTTTAGGTGACTGATACAAGTACATGTTATAGTGAACAACATGAGGATTCAGCCAATGATAGCTACAGAGATTTTTTTTCTTAAATCATTAAAATTTTTACTTACATCTGTGCAACACTCCTTAAAAATATATATTATTTTGTACTCTGTACCTGGTCCCTTAAATACTAATTATCTGTATTTCTCCTAGTATCACTTCAACCCTTCCCAGTCAGCCCTTGTCATGGAAGGAGATGACATTGAGAATATAAATCAGGCCCTCCAAAAGGTCTCATACATCAACTCCAGACAGTTTCCTACTGCAGGCGTGCGACGTCTCAAAGTCTCATCTAAAGTCCAGTAAGTTCTACTTCAGCTGAACTGAACAGATTAGGAACATTTTTAATGAATTACTTTTCTCTTTGGCCATGTAAAAAGAATAATTTTGGCTCAATTAAATTGATAAATCATACTGCTTTGTTATTGAACTTTAAAGGATTAATTTAATTTACTTTTATGCCAAAACCACCGTTTACATGGTGGATTACTCTTGATATTACCTTCTTAAGAAGCCTTTCTTGTTAGTGTAATGTACTTGCATTCTCTTTAATGCTTTGGGGCAGGGCTTTAGAGGGAAAACAAGCAGAGTTCTAAGAGCTCTCAGGCAGCCCCACTGGAGCCAGCCCAGCCTCACATCCCAGGGCTGGCCCAGCTCCTGTGCCAGCATGAAATGAGGCAGAACTTGTCAGGAGATTTACTTCCTGCACACTGCTGATTCAGGTGAAAGTGGAAGTACAGGCACCTCTTGTTCACTGCAAATATTGGAGGGTCCCAAAAAGTTTCCATTTGAATAGAAAATTAGGCCCTTTTAATCACTGTCTTGGTTTGGAAAGACAGGAGTCTGCTGAGGAAGGCAGGAGCCTCCCCTGAAATGGAGAATGTAAACCCTCCCCACCTCTCCCAATTGCTATAAATTTTAAATTAGGGGGCTCTCAGGCAAAAATATGGGAACAGGAAATAACAGTTCTTTAATAGGGAAAAGGAAAAAAATAAAAGGATACAATAAACAATGCAGTACACTAGAGCAACACTGACAGAGTCAGAACCCAACCTGACACCCTGTGGGTCAGGGTGTTGGTGGCAGTCCCACTGGAATTGTGGCTCAGCCCTCCTGTAGTGTCAGGGGTGGTTCTGCTGGAGCAGGGATCTGTAGAGAAGGATGTGTTCTTCCTCTGAAGATCCAGGGGAAGGAGAGGCAGCTGCTGCTCCTCTGGGGAATCCAGTGGAGAAGCCGTGCTGGTGTCTCAAAACCCCTGGATTATATCCGGGTAGCAATGCTTGGCTCCTCCCCCTGGGCTCACATCTCCCAATGGGATGCTATAGTTCTTATCAGCCATGCAGTGACATTCAATAGCTGTTATCAGCAATGTCCCCTCCCATGGAGGTGTGATTGTGGTCACTGAGAGAGAGATAAAGTAAACTGCCCACTTGACAAAGGTAATCTGCATCTTGCATTGCAATTTTCAACAATCACACATGACAGGATAACCATGTTGTATTCATTAGCCTCCACTTTCTGAATTTAACGTTTGGTTTGCTAAAGTTAGTTGTTATCTAGTTAACTTTGTTAACGCCTTGCTGCTCTGTTAAATGTCAGTGAAACATTAAAATAATATTCTGATATTCACCTTAGGAAAGACTGAGTTTGTCCCTCAGGATGAGATCTGTGAAGGTGGGAAGGGAGGGGAGGGCCAGAGCTGGGTGCCTGAGGATGAATTGGACTGATCTGAGAGCCACGAGCTGGGCTTGGGGCATTGCCAGTGCCACACTGATGTGCAATGTGTTACATGCAGTTAATGGCTGATGTGTCTTTTCAGATGTTTTGGTGAAGATGTCTGCATTAGTATCCCAGATATAGATGCCTATGTAATGGTATTTCAGGCCAATGAGCCCAAGATTACCATAACTGGGATGGACCACTTTGCTAGACCAGCTGCACAGTTTGAAAGTGAAAGAGGTGTTATTCTGTTCCCTGACATCAGGATTGTCAGCACAGTCACTAAAATGGAGCATTCAGTGGACTTAAGAGAACATGACAGAGGTTTGTGTCTTTCTTTTAAATATTATTACTCATTTTGTAATGTCTGCTCATTTTTTTTAAAGAATGGTGCAAACAAGTAATGCAAAGGAAGTCACTTCACCCAGATTAATTAGGCCACAGTAATGCTGTATTGAAGAAATTCAATTCAACACATTGAAAATGTGTTAAATGGTAGCAGATCAGAAGGTGTTTTAAAAAAAAGCAGATATTCTATATAGTATTCATTTAGTATACTTTAGAATAATTCCTTTCTACTCTTCCTTTCATATTCTGTTATGTAGGATATTTTCATTAGAATGCCTCTACTTGTAACAGAATTTTGTTAATTGTGCTGATAAGGTGAAAATCAGTAATTGAACAAAAGTTGAAGTTTTAGTCTGGTCTTATGTTTCCAGCTCTGATACTAACTTGTGAGTGATACTTGAAAAAGTAATCTCATGCCTCAGCTTCCCACCTATAAAATGTATATATAATCCTTTACAATATTTATTTTCAATGATGACTATTTATTCTACTGCTAAGCAATGTGTGTATTATTATTCAACACTGTGTGAATGTTCAAAAGTATAAATCAAGTTTAAAATCATTGTCTATAAAGGAATCTTTTGAATTTTTGTGTAAAAGGCAGATGAAATGTCTAGTAATTTGAGGAATCATTCTAAACACAGTTTGTTGGACTACAATAAGCAGCAACTAGATGGATGTCTCTGAAGAAGAGAAAATGGGTAATGGTATGCAAGTTTACAGGCACAGATTGCCTGAAGCCTACAAATTTGACTTGGGCTGCATTCTTGGATATGTTACAGCTGTAACTTAGAGCTGAGACACCCAGATTCACTGCACCAGGAGTTGGCAATCTAGAGTGTTAGGCTTTCCTGGCTGTGCCCTCCTTCCCAATGCCTTCCTTCCCAAATTCCTGCCCTCTAACATCAAGTTTGCAAAATGGGCAGGAAGTTCCAGACTTGCAGTGTCTGTGCCCTCAGGGAGCTGCTTAAGCAGTTTTGCCACACACTCTGTGCTAAGTTGATCAGAGAATTTAAATATTAATTTGATATGCTACCCTTTTTCCAGTAACAGAATTATTTTTTTACTTGTACATGTTGAAGGACAGTCAGCTTATAATTTAATTTCTTTAAGTCACACAGCACAGGATCTTGCTTTTTATAATAATGCCTTGCTCTTGGATAGATGGCCAGGTCTTTGTAATGTAAATTGTTTATGGGGCATAGAGTAACTGAGAGAATCATCCAAGCATAAATATGTTGGATGTGTATTTTTCCAGTTTGGTTTTCCTTGAGAAATCTGGTATCAATTCAGCACCGAAACATGGAATTTTTTACATGAATTTATTTCCAAGATCAAATTTCAGTTTTATACTTCCAATAATGTTCTTGGGTGCCTTATTATACTAAAGAACAATATATTTTCTATTTATCTCACTGGGTATTTGTAAGGCCTTCATCATCACAGCAGTTCAGCTATCCTGGCAAAAATTAAAAGCTCTGAGGCAAAGCACATAAAATGAATGAGCTGATCTGTGATAATTTTTCTTCATTTCTGTCTTTTTTTTCATGCCTCATGCCATGGATTCACAGTCAATAAACAAGTGGTAGTAGAGGAAATGCTCCACAACTTGGATTTCTGTGATGTTTTGGTCATTGGTGCAGAACTAGACCCTGAACAAGAGTGTTTAGAACTAGATCATGGGGAGCTTCAAGGAAAACATCTAGATGCCACAAATTCCACTGCAGGATATTCAATCTATGGTAAGTTCAGGAAATTTGTTTTCCCTTATTTTGTCACATCAATTATATATTGGAATGAAAGCTCAAATGTATAAGAAATTGGACAGAAATCTGTGATTTTCTAGCCATGAAAATATCCCAAGGGTGACTGTATCTTAAAAAACGCAGCTGCTTCTTGATCTCTGGATGTGCTGTGTTTGCCCTTTGGATTCTCAGCATCCCTCCTGCTATTCCCCGAGTAAGGAAAACAACATCCCTGCTTTCTTTAAATGTGGGGTCCTTGTGGACCATCACAGTGGAACATGGGAGTGAGGGGGCTCCTGAACAATGCTGGGACATTGGACATCTTTTTTCTCATCACTAAGTAATTTATTCTGTACCATTGTTGTACTTTCCCCTCTTCATTAGGGACCTTCATTCAGTTCCAAAAACTATCCTTACGTAACTGAGTGTCAGGGAACATTTGATGCCCTGTCATTTCCAGACCTTTCTGCCGAGTTCCGCGTGTTCTGTGAGCAGCTGATTTGTTGTTTATTGCCAGAGCAGCGTTCCCTTGCCTATCCCAGAGCTGTCCCTGCCCTCCCACCCCACAGGTGTGGACAGCATGTTCAGCTATGAGCAGGTGCTGCGGCAGCTCCGCTACCGCAACTGGGGCACCTCGGCCACCTCGGACAGGAAATTCAGGGTCAAGTGCTCCGAGCTCAACGGGCGTTACACCAGCAATGAATTCAACCTGGAGGTGAGCAAGGAGTTCAGCCTGGAGGTGAGCAGTGAGTTCAACCTGGAGGTGAGCAGTGAGTGAGTTCAGCCTGCAGGTGAGCAATGACTCAGTCATGTTTTCCAACCTAGCGCCGAGACCTAGAGCCCAGGTAACAACTCCAGGAAACTGCAGGACCTACTCAGCAATATGGTCAAAATTAATAAGTGTTTACAAAGATAGCTTAATAATTGTTAATAAAATTAAAAGTTATTTCATAATGTTTAGGCAACACCTAAAAGCTGATTATTATAGAGAGAAGAAAAAGTCACTACTTATCCAAACAGGTAAATCAAAAGAGTCCTGCTCTGTGTCACTTCAGAGTCAATAGCCAGAAAGGTTAGAATGCATTTTTCATGCTACAAATTAGAAATATATTAAGCTGTGAATTTTCCACTGGCATTAAAACAAAAGTTAATTTGTCCTTTAGCATCTGTGAAGTAGTGTCCCTATCTGCTGATGAACTTCATAGTCCAATGTAATATATGGAACCAGCAGGCTTGAAGTATAAAACACTTTTGAGTATCTGGTCTCTTATTTTTCTCTTCTCCCAGGTTAATATTCTGCACAGTTCCAACTCAAACTTCATGGACCATGTAAATCACATGATATTCCAGCCCAAATTTCTCCAATCTGTTCAGCACCCTGAGGGGAGTGTAAGTGCAGTTCCCAGCTCAGGTATGTGACACCTTCCCAGAGACTGCTCACAATGATTCCGATGTGTCAGTGTTTCCCTTGTGGGTCAGCCTGCTCCACAGACTAAAGTCCATTGTTTCAGCTCCTAAGACCTCTCAGAGATCACAGGTGTGAAAGAAGGTAACTCTGAATTCTATTCTGTCCAAGAATGTACTTTTAAATTAAAACCTGGTATCCTTTTTTAAAGTCTTCATAAATGGTTTTGTGCTCTGACCCCCAAGTTAAAAATATATAGGATATATTTTTATTTAATTTTTAGGCTATATGAGTTAAAATATATACCCAAATCTGAAACCTTTTCAGTGAAGTTAAATGCAGGGCAAAGATACTTGTTTGAAAGATGGATTCTGAAATCCTTTTAGCTGAATGATACATATGTAAAGAAGTAAAGCTGATGTAAAGTGTAGGTAGTTGTAATTAGTTATACACAGAGATGCTTAGAAAATTACTGTATTTTTCTTTACATTGTAGAGACACTTCACTAAAATGAAAATGAATGTTTAATGGATAAACTATTGCAAACTAGGTTTTTTCATTCCTAAATACTGTTTCGATTTCAGATTTACATTCTTATAGGCAGGGCAAGGCAACAGAATGGGTTATGGACTGGGTTATCCCATGCTCCTGGAACTGCAGTACCTCTCAGTACATACAAAGTGGCAGCATTTCTCCACTAACATAATTATGGAGCTGATTACATGTGGTAGTTCAGAGAGACTTCTTCCTGTGACTAGGTGGAGACAGGGGCCTCTCAGAGTACAACCAAACAATGGGGGGAAAATGTCTTGAGTCCTCAAGAGTCTCCGAGGAAGGTTGTAACACAGACAAATAGGGTGGCAATGCATTTATTTCTGGGAGCTTGAGATTGAAATTGCAAGTGTTTGAAACCTTTGAAAATACAAGCTTTTAGATGTACATTTTGTCTCAAGTAAGCTTGAGGCCTCAGCTGTGATCAGAAGGGGTCAACATGCAAGTGGACATAACAGAATTTTACTGCAAAAACTATTTGATTCTGCACTTATTAACTACCTGTCTTCTGTAGTTAAGTGGCTCAAAAAGCAAAGGTGAGCATGCTCACTTTTTAGTTAGGATTTATCATACTCATCAAAAGACACCTGTGAACACCATTTGTGTGTGCTCCACCTTAATGGATGGGCACTGGCCAGCACTTTCCATCATCCCAGGCACATGGAAGGTGTCTGTCCTGATTCTCACTCCAAAGGGGGGATGCTTTGGGTAGAAAATGAGCAAGGTTAGTGAGGTTTAGATGACTTGTTGCACGAGTGTAACTGCATGCCCTTTGCCACCCTCTGTCCCAGTGGTTCCCAGTGTGGCCACGATGGTTATCATCATCTGTGTGAGCGTCCTGGTGCTGGTGGTGATGCTGGGCGTGCTCCGGCTGCGCTCCGCGCGCCAGCACGGCTCCCTGGGGCACGAGGGACCCAAGGACAACGAGATGGACTGGGACGACTCTGCTCTCACCATCACCGTCAACCCCATGGAGGTACCGACCCCTGGCACTGCCAGGAGCCATGGGCTGGGCTGGCAGGGGGTTTGAGCATCTTTCAGGGTGCAATTGTTCAGCTGTGTGTGCATACACTCAAGACCCCAGCCCAGTTCTCAGCTCTGCACACCTTGATCAGATATAATTGAGAACTTCAGCTTTGTCGTCATATGTAATTACTAAAGAAGATGGTGAAGAACTCTCAGGTACATCCACTCCATCCATGTCTGTCTGTAGGTACCTCTCAGGAGGTTGCAGTTTATTGCAGCCCCAAGACACGTGAACAGTCTCTGTTTCAGCCTGCACGTTCAGAGAATGAGTCAGAGCTCTTCATTTCTCGGTCTCAGAGTTGTTTATTGTATCTTATCTATAAAAAATTTTCTCCTGTCCAGCCGAGGTCTGCTCAGCAGGACAGACAGAGGCACTCTGCCTGCCCCCGGGGCGGTGTTATCTCTTTATACTACAAACTACAGATAACATATTTACAATTACTTCCCAATACCTATCACCTATGTTAGACAGTGAGCTTCTACTCTAAAGCAACCCAAAAATGCCAACATCACAGCAGAAGATGGAGGCAGAGAAGAAGAAGAACAAAGGCTGGACATGCCCAAGTCCCTCCATCTTGTCCCCAAAACCCCCATTCTAAAAATCCCAAAATCTACCCCTTCACCTAGTAAGAATTTTATTATTACACTACTTAAACTTCTGTGGCTTTCAGGTCCTCATACAAAGCTGGTAATTTGCTCCACGGGTCATAATCAACCCCACAGGTGTTTTGGGCTCTGTGCCAGGGTCTCTGAGCCCCCTGGCAGGGTCCTGGCAGCTCTGGACACCCAGAGGGATGCACTGAGTTCTGACAGGTACCCAAGATGATATAGTTGGCTTTGGTTTTAACTTTTTCATGTAAGCATTTACACACTAAAAGGAGAGGAAATCATCAGCAGTTTAAAGAGGATGATGTTGAAGGTTTAAATTTTGGTAGTGTGGCTAACAAAGAGATTGCTTATTGATATTCCATTCTTCTTGGAGTAGTTTTTTTGTTTGCTACCAACTTGTATGAATTTGATGCTTAATAATCACATAATGATGGAAAGCAAATCTTCATGTTAGCATTTCTAAATGCTCATTTGAGACAGTTCTGGCTGTCAAGAAGGCACCTTTCTGATACTGTCTCATTTCTTTAAATGTATTGTAGAGATATGAAAAGCCACACCAGACAGAAGAGGAGAGTGAGGAAGAAGACATAGATGATGAAGAGGAAGACACAACCAGTGCTGAATCAGATGATAGTGAAGAGGAGGAAGACGAGGAAGAGGAGGAGGAAGTGATTGTCCAAAAGGGAAACAAACAGAATGCCACCAGGCAAGAGCAGTTGGAGTGGGATGATTCAACACTCCCCTACTAACAAACAGCCTGCCAGCCACAGCTCTTTTGTAACAACCAATACAATGTTTTTTCAGAGTCTATGAATTCATTGACAGGATTTGAACTTCTGCTTGCCTGTAACTGTTTTGCCTAAAATGATCTTGTTGTAGTAATTGATAACGATAGAACTGACCCTTTTCTTACAAAGCCTGGAGAAAAGGTGGTCCAAACCTCCTGGCACATGCAGTAATAAAGTAATCTAGAACTTGATCTGTTAGCAAGCATAGTTCTCAATTTCCTGTTTCTACCCTGCAGATGTGTGACAAAAATCCTGTCACTCAATCCATACAAATTTTTGCCTTTGCTACTTTTTTCACACAGGAGAGATTTCAGCTCGTTGTGTAGAATAACTTCTGTGGGTCCAAATACCAGTTGCCATATAACTTCACATTTTTACAGGTGTAAAAAAACATAATCCACCTTCAAATTGGGGCAGGGTTTTAGTGCTACAGGAGCTAAATTCCATCCGTCATCTCGTCCTGCCTTTTGGATGTTAACTGTCTTCTGCAAGGGAATATCTGGGACTTGACAGGGGATGCATGTGTGCTTATGTAGATGTGGATGGTGTATTTTTCAGGCATGCTGTCAGACCCTCAAGAGAGGGATTTTTATCCAATCTACCAATAGAAATTAAAAGCAAGTTTGAGAAAAACAGCAACAAGAAAGGGCTGCTGATGGTTATCCAAAAAAAACCCCATCCAGTCTGTGTCCATAGATTGAGTAATATGGTCTTATGCAAACTGTAAATTCTAATGGGATTGATTCACTTAAAATCTGCAGAGCTGCTCATTAGTTATGGATTGAGCAATTTGCAGCAAATCGATGCTTTAAACTGTCTGTCTCATGGAACCATTAGCTTGCTGCAGCATCTTACTGAACTAGTGGAAAATAAGTGACCCCATTATTCCATGACTATGTATAGCTGGGATTTAAACAATTATTTTAGATGAGGAAAACGTTCCCTTTTGCTTAGTGAATGCCAGCCTGAATTCCTGTCTGACTGTATTCTATAAAAACATGATGCCCTATTTCTTCTTCACCCCTGCCTGCCCGTAGTGCACAAGAGAAAGGAACAGCACTGTGAGTCCTCTTCTGTGCTCATAATTCTCCCTTATTTCTTCTGCCTGAAGCCATTAATGTTGACAGAAGGTTTTATAAAGTAGACAAAGAAAAATAGAACCTATTTGGAACCAAAATAGTTGAAAACAAAAACTAAAATCTTAAGAGGCTGAGAGAGTATTTTAGTTTGTTATGGTAACACAGCATATTTTTCTTAAACACCGTTTAAAAAAGAAAAAAAAAAAGGAAAAGCAGAGCTATGTAAGCTACATATACAATGTGTTGATTAGTCTGTGTGGTGTGTTTCTGGTCCCCTTTTCCTTAAGCACCTTTCAACTGCTCTGCTTACCAAATGCTGCAGCACTTGCTGGGGTGGCTGCTCCAATGCACAGAAACAAAATGGCATGGAAGTGAATGCTGCTTAGTGGCTTGTCTGGGTTGTTCTCCTGAGTACTTTGTCCTCTTTGCAATTTCATCTCTGACTTTTGCTTTTTTAATCTGCTGTTTGAAATAAGCTGCTTCCTCTTCTTCACCCTCCCAGTCAGTCTGGCCACAGCAGGACCTTCCTGAGCACCCTGAGTGGTGGCTGGTGTTGCAAAGGGCACTTGAAGCAATCCTGAGGGTGCCCACCTCCCTCAATACTGGATTATTAACAGCTCCTGAATGTGATGGGATATAGGGAATACAAAGGATGCTTGGGGGTTCTTGTAATTCCAGTTTCTGCATTTGGCAGCTGAAAGGAAATACTGAGAGCAACTAAGCCCTTTAGTTGAATATCTAGAAAGTAAATGAAAGAAAAATCTATAATAATTTTAAAATTGGAGATATTTATGCTTTTATTTGTTGTGCCAGCAATCACGTTGTCACATGGTTGTTAAGATTGGCAACACAGCAGTTTTGTTTTGTTATCAATCCTGTTTCATTTTATTCTCTCACACATATTAAACTTAGAAGAATATTTGAAGAATCAAGGCCACATAAGTACATCTTATCTGCACGAATAACAACTGTAAAAATGTCCACAATTTTTCTGTTTAATACAAAATTAATATTGATATTTCTGATTATCTTGAACAAAATGATATGTTAGATCAGTTCCTACCATCCTAGTAGCCTAGATAAATTCCCAGTTTTAATTTTATAGTGACATGAAGTAGGCTCTTCATGATGCTTGTTATCAGCACATATCAGCAAATCTTTACGCTCAGAAAAAAATATTCAAAATTAAATGTAGATATTTAAAAGTCAATTTCAGATTTAAAACTGGACTTAAATTATTTTAAAGTTTCCGTTATTCCTGATTATTATTATCATTGTTGCTATTGTAGTTGCTGTTCTCATAGCAAACATTACGGCAAACTTGAAAACAGCAATTTACAACCTTATTGACAGCCTTTAATTCTTTTATATGTTTGTGAATTCATCAGTGTGTTTCTCCATCTAACAGACTTTTATCTTTTTACTGCTGGAAGCAGATCTTTTCAGGTTGTATTCGTACATTACACAAAAAGGAAACAAAGTATTTTCTCTACTATAAATAAATCTACATTTTTAAACCGAAGCAAAGTCATACAGGCATGTGTGTTATCACTAAAACTTAATTTGCAGTAAGATTCTCAGCAAACTCAAATGTATCACTGTACTTATTTTAGATTACTTGTTTGAGTGCATTATGCAGCATTTTTCATTCAAATAAATAGAAACATCCTTTTCACAGAATGGCAGTGGGAATGAGGTACTTCTTCACAAAATGGGTCCTAAAATATTTGTATAGCACTAAAAGCAGTGGTTTCCTGAGCAAAACTACTACTAGAAAATCACAGAAATATGAATTTTTCTAAAACAATTCTAACAATATTGCCTCCCCTCCAGAAATTATTTTTTATATAACCTACTTGCTTAAAAACCAACCAGAACACATACACACATATGTACATAAAGACATACATGTGGGGGTTTTTTTGCCCTTAATCAAAAGCCAAAATTGTCTCCTTTTCTCCCTGAAAAAAAGTGTTTAGAATTGTAAAACCATTCAGGTTGGAAAAGACCCCTAAGATCACTCGCTGCAGCCCCTCAGGGCTGGCTTGTGGTGAGGTGGTCTTTTTTTACACTAGCAATAAACAAGTATACCCAAAGAAACGGTACCAGGAATCCAGAGGTGACAACAGAGGTCTAAAATGACTTCACATCAATGATCCCTGAAATTTTTGGAGTTCTAATTTAAGGCTGGGAAAAGCTGTAAAACCTACAAATGCAAATTGAAGATGTTATCTGAATTAATATAACTGCCTAAGTGGTTATTTGTGATTTATAGCTCCCATTTCTCTTTCATTTCTACCCCTCCATAGGTGTTTTATCTTTGCAAGTAAACCTTAAAATGCACAGTTGAGATTAGTATCAATATTTACTGCACTGGCTGACACATCTAGAACTAGACATAGGATTTGTGACATCTTTAATACTAATTAAAATAAACAGTTGCTACTTTTTCATTCCAACAGGTAACACTTTGCAGTGGTGATGGGACTGCTTTTTACCTCCTCAGAGGCTAATGGGAGGGAGCAGTTTATTTTTCTCTCTGGAATTTGGTGGTGCTGAGCTTGCTGAGCCCCATCCTTACTCCATTCTGGAACAAAGTAAGGCTCAGAAAGCATCAGAGAGTTTTAAATTTCCTTCTGTGACTGAAATCCACTGTCCCTGCCTGACCCTAAACTGAAAATAATGCCATGGAAATCAGTAGCCCCAGATGAAGGATGGGCAGAGGGTAGCCCAGTAGCAGCCCTTATTTCACTGTGGCAAAGCCTTTTGAGCTTTGATAAAATAGAAATAATAAATAATTTTTGTCTCAACTGTCCCTTTTTCCAGCTGTAATCTCAGAGGCAGCTTTACTTGCCTCCCTGGGACCCAACACTGCCTCTTCTCAAAGTTTTGGTGCCAGCACACACAGCTCTGCACAGAACAGCACCAGGAAAGACTTCACTGGGGTGACAGTAAAGGTCTGGTAGGATGCTGTGACCATGTTCACAGGGGTTTTTGGATTGGGGAAGAGACAAGGATCTGACTCCATCTTTCAGAAGGCTTGATTTATTATTTTATTATATATATTACATTTAAACTATACTGAAAGAATAGAAGAAAGGATTTCATCAGAAGGCTAGCTAAGAATAGAATAGGAAAGAATGATAACAAAGGTTTGTGGCTCGGGCTCTGTGTCCAAGCCAGCTGACTGTGATTGGCCATTAATTAGAAACAACCAACATGAGACCAATCACAGATGCACCTGTTGCATTCCACAGCAGCAGATAACCATTGTTTACATTTTGTTCCTGAGGCCTCCCAGCTTCTCAGGAGGAAAAATCCTAAGGAAAGGATTTTTCATAAAAGTTGTCTGCGACAGGATGGAGCTGTTCCTGGTATCCTGGAATAGAAATTATAATACCAAAATTAAGGATGTTTGCAAAAACACATGGATACTGAGAAAGGGAGAGGAGACAAAACTGAGTATGTCTCCTCTAAGGGGCCTCCCCTTCTCTTAATTCACACATGCTGACCAGAATAAGCATCTCAAAACTAGGATATCCCCAGTCTCAGGGGGGATATCAGGTTTTATCAGGTTCTGCCTTAAGAATTGCTTTCTGCCTTTAAGCTTAAAGTAGTTCTACACCAAGTGAGTAAATCTAAGGAGATAGGAGAAAAAAAACCCAAATGACAAAACATAAATATCAAAAAGATTGCTGAAGAAATCAAACCTCCTTCTAAGTCACTGAATTAATTCCTGTTGGTTGTACATAATCCTGTGCTGTGTAATCTCCCTCATGCTCTAGCATCACCAAAGGCATGAGGTTTTCCCTCTCTCTGCCCCAGAGCCTGAGCTCACAGCATGCCAGTGCCACTGCAAACAGCCATGGCAACAGCAGCCAGCCCATCCCTTGGTGTTCCCAAAGAAACCCACACTCCCATGCACCAAACCATTACACTTTGTAATATTTCCTACAGCACCCAGAAGCTGCAGTCCTGTACGGTCTCTGTACATTGGGGTCAAGTGTTTTTTTGTTTTTTTTAATAAAGAAAGGCATAACAAGCAATGTGGGAGAAGTGATGTAAACTGAAATGGAGCAGGTTCTCTAAAGCTGCATGTTTCAGATTGTGTATCCAATGATCAGACTTCTGGTTGCTGGACTCTCTTGGAATCCAACTTCATTTTTGTTAGCATGGAGAAAAAAGGTACAAAGAATAGATATAACCACTAAAGCTACAGCAGAACAAAATTCATACTCTCTTAACTCACCCAATCTCAAGAAATATTTCTGCTAAATATATTAGGAGAATTGCTCCAGTGATATCTCATAAAGTAATTATAATTCATCACCTTTGTAGGATTAGCAAGGTTCAAGCCTGGTATGGGTTTTTTTGTTTTGGTTTTCTCTGAAAAAGACATGGTCATAAATTAAAAATACACAAACCTGAATAGTGCAAAAACTGAAAGAGGAGCAAGGGCTTTAATTTCATAAACCTCTGTCTAAGATAGGGGGTTGAAGTAATAAACAACTGTAGCCCTCATTATTGAAACTTAGCAGAATAAAATGAACCCAGGATGTTTTGTATGTTTATAACCTCATTTCTGCTGATGAAAAGGCAGGCACCAGAGCAGGTTCCCTTTTTCCCTCGAGGCATTTTGCTGCCTTTGGAGTAGGTATTGACAGCAGTTTGCTTGTTATGGTTTCCATGTCTCTGCTGGCAACAGGAACAGTGCTGCTAGCATCCTGTCAAAGAGCCTGCTGGTGAACCATAATTCAATAATTCTCCTGCAGCTCTGCTCTCAGCCCTCCATGGTGGAGCACTCCAAACACAGGCAGAGGGAAAGACTCAATGGTTACAGCAGAGAGCTCTGGGCTGGTGCTTCATTAGTTACTGCCTATAAAGAAACACACTCAGCAGCATGAAGCACTGCAAATGTGTGAAACAGAGTTCAGGAGAAGGCCTCATTCTTATTTTCAGTGCTAGCTCATGGGGAAATTGTGCATTCACCAGCTGTTCAAGCTCCATGCCCATGCATTGTCACTATTTATGTCTGTGCTGAGAACAAAGAAGCAGCAGAATTTTTTTCCCAGTTAAGTACATTGTACAGTAAAAGAGTTCAGCTTTCCCTGGGCAAGGTGCACAAAGCTTGCCAAATGCTGTCTTCAAATAGGGAACAAAGATTTTACAATGGTACTCCATCCTTGTACTTCAGACACCCAGAAAATTTCATGGGAGTAAAATGCTTTCCTGCAGCCCTACCTATTCCTTTTGTATAAATCTGGATACAGTTTTGGGTTTTCAGAGGCATTTAACTTCCCATCTGGGTATAAACTTCCCAGCTTTCAGGTGTCCTTTGGTGTACTAACCCATAAAACTATTTTTGGCTGAATGTTTCAGGATATACTAAGGGGAGGAGAAAAAGCAAAAAGTTATTAAAATTACAATGTCTTTTTTTTCTACTCCTGCCTCCCCTAAATATATAAACAGGTACAAAAGAATTGATCACACAACCCTGACCAAGTCTGTGAGTACAATGACATTTCAAACCAGTACTGAAATTAGCAATAAATCTTTGTCTACAAACTGCTTAATGTGCAGTAGAGGAGAAGGTGGATGGTTGTTTTAACTGGGCATGCTCTTTAGAATGTGGAATGGATCAACTGCAATCAGTTCCATTAGAAAATCAAATGATTATTCAAGGAAGAGTGAACAGGAAAGTAGAAGAGAATACTGCATGAATAACAGAAAGAGTTGAGGTTTACAGTGATGTGAAAAAAGCTGAAATTTGATCTTGTAGAAAAGAAAAAAAGAGACATAAAAGCATCAGTGTCAAATAGTAAGAAAATGGAAACATTCTGTATTTCCACGGCAGAACTGACACTGTCACGATGAACAAGAAAGAGAATGAATGTAGGATGCTGAAGGGTTCCAGGATGACCAGACATAGATGCAAAACATACATTTGTGTGTTGTGTACATAAACCTGTGTGTGTACAGGAAAATCCCAGAATGGTGCCCATGGGGAGGTGGTGGCTGTGGTGATGAAGGAGAACTTGCAGGTTTTTGGCCTGGCTGATGCTGAAGTTTCCTTCTTGAGTTCCAGTCCCAGCACCTCCAGCAGAGCTGGGAAGGGAGCAGGGCCATGAGAGGGGTTTGCTGCACTGTGTGTGCATTAAGTAGAAAAATGTAGAGCCAAGGCCAGCCCAGGGGGCTTGGGGCAAACATTCTGTCTGCTTTAACTTGAGTCTGAGGGTCCAGTTACCACATAGTTTATTTGAGGTAAGAAATGGAACTTTTGCCCACAGACAGCTGTTGGTTAGTTTTAGAGATTTTTCTACAACAAACATATTCCATGGGTTGATGAGGAGCTGGAGATACCCAAGGCAGATTATATTCCACATTGAAAAGGCCCTCAAGTAAACTTTTTGTAGTGATACAATCTCCTAAGTGGCCACACAGTTAGGAAACCTGATTTTTGAAAATATACATAATAGAAAACTTTTTTAATTATAACAACCATCCCTGTGCCAATCTGAGAGCTGAAGTTTTTGCCTCTCTCCTCAGAAAAAACTACTGGCACATTTATTTTTGGCCTCTCCACAAACTGATGTAAAAGTGTGAGGTACATCTGAAAAGAGATGGGGTTTTTGTGTGTATTCTATTCCAAATACTGCACCACCAGTTGAGCAAATTTTTGATTGTGGTTAACAGGCAATTCTATTCAAAGGGTCACCATGACAGGGATGGGAAGATACACCAGAGTGGATTGTTGCTTTGCAGGGTAATACATGCTATGGGTGTGCTTCCTGAGAACTGTTTCATCTCAACTTCAGTGTGTTTTGAAGTTTATAGTAGACTTATCAAATCCTAGAAATAAAGATTAGTAGACAAAAGGAAAAAGTAGTGCAAGTAGAGTATTATGCTAACAGTGCAGAATTATTTCCTAGAATATATTTTTTAGTGTTAGGGGTGGGGGTGCTTCAACCTACTTAAATGTTTCTAAGCCTGGGGCTTCTACTGCTTCCCTTGGGAGATTGCTCTAGAGTCTATTAGAATTCACCATTAGAAAGTTTTTCCTAAAAATGAATTTAAATAATCCTTTTTGTAATTTT